CTTGGTCACCGATTTACACATTGTATTAACATTCAAATTTGATTAGATAGTTCTCTTCTTTTTTGGCACAAATTTTAGGGATGCGCATAATTTATGGTCCAGTCAGAAGATAAAAGTAAAGTTTTATCGCTTTGTAGATTTTAATACAAAACTCCTAAGTAAATACTCTTTTTCCATCGGCTGGAAATGTATCCTAAGTAGAAGTAACTGAACTGGCTTAGAAAGACTCAGAGATTGATGAAAGAGCCCCTCGGAAGGGAACTAGGATCTATTGGAATGGAAGAGGTGCAAATCTTATATGATTGTACTTCCACTGGCCCTCTAGATGACCTTAAAATAGAAGAACTTGCTATTTGAGCTGAAAATTTGTTAAAATGGCTGGCTTTGTGACGTGTGTGTGTGTCTCAATGAGAAAACGAACCGGGTTTGGTGTTAATTCGTGAATGATTGATCCACGTATCCAACCGGCCAATAGTTTACCAATTTACTCATTCTGATGCTAACCGGATTTGTTTGGGTGACGTTCACGAATCAAAGACCAACCCGAGTCAATTCTCACCGATCCTGGACCCAGACGATGTGGAAAACATAAAGATCCTTGGATAGGACTATTTTCGGGCCCATAAGATCTATCAAAATATAAAGGACCCATCCGAGTATATTACGATATTATCTGATATATTTGGTCGGCATCAGAATAAATCATTAGAGGAATTTGGTCTCAAAACCGAAGAAGAACAAAATAGAAAATACTAAAGTCCCTTTTAGAAGATTGTATATTATTCCACTCATACACAAATTATTTACTTTAATCATACACATTCTGTTTTGATTGACTGATTATAACAACTACATCATTATGCAAATGCATATATTAAGCATTAGCAATAACATCAATATTATATAAATTATTACGAATTATTTACATAAGATAAAAGGTAGTGACGATAGCTAATAATTGACTGCAAAACAGCTAAGAGATGCTTCTGTCTCTCTGTTCTAAAAACGAAAAAAATATATTAAAAAACATAAATCTCATCAGTCACGTAACGCCTCTTCCCCTAATCCAACGGTCAGCAAATTTTCTCTTTTATTTTCCCTACCCCCAAAAATATCCCACCTAAATTACCCTAATACCCCTGTCACCATCGCCGGTAAAACTCCACGGCTCCGGTGACGGATCTATCTGATTGGTCGGCGTTGACATGAACGTGAGAGGTAAACCTCACATTGTATCGAAGTTTTGCCAATTCTAAACCCAGGAACCACAGTAAACGCAACTCGCGGCTCAGATTCCGGCGAACTTTCTTCCGGCGGAGAGAGGAAAGCTTCCTCCGTCAAGCTCTTCATGTACACTTCCGAGAATCTACAACCTTTAGGTACTTCAAAGATCGAAGCTTCAGGGTCGAAGGAGAAAGCTAAGCAATGTAAAAGCCAAACCCTTTTCGCCATTTCGACAAACGCAGTGCAGAAACTCGTCTCTGGAAACTCACAAGCAGAGATTTGGTTTCTTTGATGCATATGTCCGAAGAACGCTTGCTCCATCTTTGGATGTATGAGCTGCAAATACTTTGCTCTGCAAAACCAAGAAAATCTCGATTTAGGACTTGAAGCTATGTACTCTTTTGTCTTCATCGATCTAAGCTCTGTGAATCTCTCGAAGAACATCTCTTTGCTCTTCTTCTGAGGTGATGATGATTCGGTTGAGAAGTAAGGTAGATGAAACGCTTCGAACATTATCTTGCAAACGAAATGCTCGAAAGCGAAACACTTGTGGTCTTGCTTGTAATAGAATACTTCAGGCTGTATTGAATCAGCCGCCATATCGATGTCCCAACCAGCAAATTTCATCTGTTCAACCATCAATTTGACGAATCCTCGGATTGATTTAACGGTGTGATGCAGATAAGTAACGAAATGGCTCGGATTTAGCGCGGAATGATGAAGATTATGAGCCAATGGATTGCAAAGTTGGCCACTTTGGTTTAGTCTCTTCTCCATTAACTTGTTCTGATTCATGGATTCTTCAAACTTCTCTTTAAGAAACATGATCTCAGAGTCTTTAAGCTTCAATTGACACTCCTGCTTCTTCCTCATGATCTCATAAGTCTTCAACAAGCTACTCAGTTCTTGAATTTCCGCAAGAACAAGAATTCTATCAGGATTAGGATCAAACTGTTTCTTCAAGAAACTCTGTTTCAGCTCAGACAATGTCTTCAGTTCTGATACTACCAAGTTGTCTGCTTTCTGAATACCAGCTGGATCGTAAGGAGACTGAGCATACTGCAACTGCGCATAACCCGATTTTATCGAAGAAACCGTAGCGAAAAGCTTTGCAAGAAGAGCTTCCATGGAAAGTCTTTTCTCATACTCTTCCTCTAACTTGTCAAAAGACTCGGACAGATTTGCTGCATTCTTCTTCGCTAAATCTTTACCCAACTTCACTTTTTCTTGGCTCTTCTTCACTTTCTCAACCTTGTCTCCTTCTGGAACAACGCCGGTTTGCTTCTTAATGTTGATGACTTTAGCAAATGTGCGTCTGAGTTTTCCTTTTCCTGAAGCAACATCTAATGGTTTCACAGTCTCCATCTGCAGAATCATTACCAATGCTTTAGTAAGGTGAGAATAAAACCGAACAAGGGGATGAATGAGACTTGCAAGTTGCAACAATGTCTATATCGAACAAAGAGAAAAAGAAAAAGCAAAACATGGATCTAGGACCATTAATGGAGCTTCACTTTGTTAGACTTCTTTACTTAAAAACCACAAAAAATGAAGAGCAAGAGAAGAAGCTTGAAGAAGAGATTGTTTCACTAATGGTTAACACTTCACTTTCTTGTCACAATGGAGAGAGGTATGCATATACATTTATATATACATAGAGTGAGAAGGAGAGAGAGATACATGCCTAGATTATCTAGTGGATACAGCATAAAGATTAATCCAAAGTTGTGGGGACATAATGGTTCATATATAAAAGAAAATGTATTATTTTTTCTAAAGGAATAAAGAATCAAGAAATGTCCAAGGAAGAAGAATAAACAACTTGCGTGTGTAGTACCATTTTCTTTTCATGAACCGATCTACCTTTTTTTTTCTTTCTTATTAATGTTCTGAAATCTTTTGCCATATATATATGTGTGTGGGGCTATTAAGTCAAAATGTGCTGCTATAGAATCAAACAAAAGTGAGAAAACAACATACTGTATATAATAAAATTGCACCCAAATGGGTTTGCTTATCTGCAGAACACATGACACATGCAAATAATTCAACACCCCTCGTTCTGATTTCTTATTCACTTTTTTCTGAAAAGAAGAAACAGTCAAGAACAAAAAAAGTGCAAAGGATAATACAAAAAGAACTGATGAGTTTTAAATACATATAGATACTCAAAGTTTTTCATAAGTTATCAATTATGGAACACTGAGAAAAAGGGATTAAGAGTATTATCATAATTGCTACAAACCAAATCAGTTAAACTAGAATCCAAGAATTTAAAAGTAGCCCCCACACACAAACACACACATGTCTGTATGTATATGATTCTCTTGAATGGTCATTTGATTCCACTCATTTAGAAAAAAAGCAAGACAATCTCAAAGCCTAAAATAGCTACCTAACATTTAAGTACAGTCACAGGTTACTCACAAAAATTAAAAACATACATATTCTATATTTCACATAAGCACAAAACTTTGGTTTAAAGTTTAAACCCATAGATATAGTGAGAATAAGACTTGTATAAAATCAAAGAGTGATTAAGAAAACCTGGAAATCGAGTCAGGGTTCTATACAATTCTCTATTTTGGTTTAGTTGTTGTCACTTCGTTGTAGAGTAAAATCGGAAGAAATCAAGTGGATAGAAATGACAAACGAACCTCTGCTTAAACCCTGCAAGATCAAATCAATAATATGAAATTTCAAATCAGTACCTACCAAAGAAAGATAAGAGAAAGTAATAATAAGCACGTTGATGAATGTTTTAAACATTGGCGGTATTTGTATTGGTTGAAAATGAGGGTTATATAATAGAAATGAGATCACTGAGAAGAAACAAACCGAACCTGATCGAGGAAAAACACATTCACCGGCAAATCTCTCTGCGTTTTAACATCTTACTCTGTTTCATAACGACAAGAAATAAAGGTAACAAAAGAAGAAGATATACAGATTCCTTCAAGGTTTCAAGACAAACCCGGAGCTCGAGAATGAGAAAGAAAAAGAAGAGAGAAGAGATTATTATTATTATAAAAAAAAATAATAAAGTGAAATGCTTTAGAGCGAGGGAGAGAGTCGTAGGAGGAGGAGGTAAATGACAGACTCAGTGGAGGCAGAGCGAGCCTAGGGAAGGTCAAAAGACTGTATCTTCCGAAACTACCCTCGTGACCAAGAGATATTTACACCGACATTGCCGCTTGAGGATGCAGAATCGTCGAAACGGAAAGGGTGTTTTTTGGTATTTTCAGGGAATAAAGACGAAAGATATTTATGAGATCTTTTTTAAATACTTATTTACTAATTTCAGACAGAACGCAAAAATCATACGATACGATTAGGAAAGTACCACAATAGTCGTATATTGTTTTTTTTTGTATGAAGTGAAATTGGTGGGAAGTTGTTGTTGCGTACGTACGCGTAGACCGGTCCGTTTCGTATGAATGGAGTCGATGAAAGACACGTGGCAAATAAATACTAGTGCAACGAACGATTCAATCAAAGCGGAGACAAGCTAGGTAGGTGGCTCGATTACATTGAAACGCTTGCTTCCTTGTGTTTAATTGCGTTAAATGCTTATTTAATCAACAAGAATTTATAGGTATTATAAAATTTAATACTACCATATTTCTTTAAACTATTCGTCGACATAAAAACACCAAGTAATTTGTTGCAAACAAAAAAATAGTAAATCATTTCATCGTTAGTTCGTTTTACAAACTCATAAATCCAATCTATTAGTAGTATTTAATCAAAGAGAACTTCAACTTGAATGAAAGACAGCTAAATAGCAGTATTGGCTTTTTCACTAAGTACAGTTGTCTTATCGTTGAAAATAAAACCAAGGATGCAAATTGCAAACTCCAAAGTTTGAATTATCTTACTAAGAACGATAATTAAGTCTCAGTGGGTTTTAAATGCAAACTTATACAAATATGGAATCCTGAGTACTATAGTTTAAGTGTACATATAAGCTAATTATAATTTTCCCCACGTTACAATGGAATGGAGAGTGGCTGGCAATTTGGCATACGTGTGTAATTGACAAAGGAGTAAATTGTCCGGGTTTAATGGAAAAAAGTTGAGACAATTCAATTTCAATTTCGAAAAAAAGAACTGAGAGCTATAAGCCTATATAACTAGGCTTCCCTATGGATTTCTCTTTGTTTTATCTTTAAACTTTAGTTTAAAAAATGTTATTCACGACTATTCATTTCACACACATACATAACGACTATTTAACGTTATTTTACTTAAGGAAAACAGACAGTAAAAAGGTAATGATGTGATTTGACATATCGTATAAGTGCTTCTGATCTGATCAGCTTTTTTTTTTTTGTTA